GAACTAGTGCTTGTTTGATATCTTCTTCATTTTTGAATTTTTTTCCTTTCAAAAAATTTTTTGAACCATCTTCTGCATGTCCTATTAGAAACTGTACCTTCACCAAACACTTTCAATAAAATTTTACATGTCTCTGTAGCATTTCTTCCTTGTTGAAATTCGTATAAAATACAGTGGCGTAAATGAACCTTATCAGTAGCCATGGATACACTATGACTTCACACATAAGACTAACGTGAATCAACTTTGTTTTAGTTAATTTGCTACGTCAGTATGTATACATTAAGTATTAAAAATAGAGAGGCACAGATGCACTTAATAAACATGTGCTTACGTGTCGAAATTTGTTGTGACAGAAACGGTCAGAACTTTCCGGTAGACCTAATATTATACGATCTTCAGTTCTTAATAGTTGTTAAAATAGCTTTATTTCTTAACTCAGAATTGAATTATTGTCCTCATACATAAAACCGAGCCAGTAGAAGTCACGCACTCGTTCTTGACTCGCGCTGTACGCAACCGTGAAATCCGTCAAGCACAACCACGCGCGCTTTACAATCATGCTCACCTGTCTCCCTTCTAGTGATTACAAACACTGACGCCGATCTAATTCCTAATTGATATCAGATTAAGTTTTTTGTTATCTCGTTTCCTAATATGGATGTAAGTGGACAATTCTGTTTGTTGGTATTTTTCTCAGACTATAAAAGACTTGTCTTATGTTGTATATTCTAATTAATGTCAGATTAAGACTTGGATCGTTTAATTAGCTTGTTTTATAGTGCAGAAGAAGTGCAGAATTTTGTTCATTACTAATTGTATCAATAAACAGGATTTGTATATAAAATAAAATATTTATGGTAGCCAATTATGAAAATCCATTTCAGACTATAATTTCCATTATCATTTAACACTATTTTTACTGATAGTGTTAAATGACACCTTTTCAAATTTTCGCTTAAAATTGTTATTATTAGTTTAATCCTTTCTTCCTCATTAAGTTTATGTCTTTTGATATAATGACTGAATAAATTAAAAGTTTAATCAATCAATTTAATAACTATTATAGGAAAAATCAATAATTTAATTGAGAAAAAAAGAATAATTTTAACCAAAAATATCAAAAAGTGCCTTTTAACAGCTTCCGTAGAAATAGTGCTAAATTAATCATTTTCGAAATGCATACAATTCGAATCCTATTTATCAAACTATTATATCATTTGGCAGTGTTTTCTAATCATTAATCGTCAGATTAAGACTTCAGTTACTCGTTAGGTATCTCATAACACGGATGGAAATAGAAATTCTGAATTCCGCCAAACTATTAACGAATTGTCAGATATTTCTCAATGTGTGAATTATTACCTTAAATCGGAGTGATCCAATCGGTGGCTTGGCATACGGGATGCCACGAAATGCCAGGTACGGTTCACCGTGAACGCTCTCATCTACGACTCCGCACAATACGCCTTGCTTCACACATACTATCGTCATCTTGGATTGTGTTAGGTAAATGGATGACGCAACGATTTTACATGACCGATGTTCTCAGCCACGGACTTACGTGTTCTGAACGCACAACCCGCGCAACGCAGACTGGACACTCAACGCCGGCGGCGCCGGCGGCCGTTGTCAATGCTTTCTTAAACGAAGTAGCTGGGGATTTGAAAGTGGCGAACAGATGACGGATAATAGTAGGGGAACTATGTTAACTATGGACCTGAGGGGAGCGGAGTAAGAGCGACGCGAGTGCCACGAGCTGTCTTCTCGTGCTAATCAACGTTAAACACATACAAAAATTCAATAAAAATAGATAAGCAGCAAACTGCAAATTCTGATAGCGTGCCGAATATCAATCTTACAGTAATTCCCATTAATATTTAAACAAAAAATAAAAAGGAATTATTATTCGTCAGAATCTCGAAGCAAAAGAGAACAGTTATGATTCTTAACATTTTTATTCAATACAAACTTGAAATAATTTGTAGATCAAAATCGCTGAGAGCATAAAACAATTAGACACATCGGAATATGTAAAAGTTCTTTAATTTACCTCAATTGTGGATGGAAAGATGTACGAAACTGCGATTTTCGAAAGGGCCTTGCTGGATAAGGGGGTCAAATGTGCCTTTGAGCCGAGTGAAGCGCCGTTTGTGCCATTCGATA